ATAAGATAAATTACAAATTTAAATATATTTTGTTCTTGAAATTTCTTAATTATAATTTTCTTTATATCAAAGTTCATTCAATGCCAAAACTAATCACACTTGTCAATTATTAGTTACTTTTTGTTTAATTTTTTTTAAACCTAACAATAATTGTTAAATAAAAAACAAATTAGAGAATGAAATTTAAATAAACACGAAAAGAAAAGAAAAGAAAATGGTGCGTCCCCTTTCTTAAGCCACCTCTCAAATCAATTTTCATAATGTCAACACACATGTTTTAAATATTTCTAACCACATTTAAATTTTTTTTTAGTCGTCATTTTTCACTCATCTTGCTACTTCGACTACTCTTATCTGACTTAACTCTTAACAACCATTTTGATCCCTCTTCGCTAATTGTTTTTTTTTCTTCTTCATGCTAAAGGTATTGGGTAACAACCTATGAAGTCAACTTGAGCACAAACTATCTCATATTACAATTCATACAATCCCTACATCAAAATAAAAATATACATAAAATATAAAAATAAAGATTGAATCGAAAACCAAAACAAATAAATGAAAAAAATTTAAAAGTTGAACGCTTAACTACATATACATTTATTCATAGCTCACTGATTAATTTTCTAGCAACTTTATACATTGTCATTACTGAAAATAATATAACACGATTCATAGTGGAGTGAGACGGAGTAATCATCAAGTTATACTAAGAGAAAACCTAAGATAAAAGAAGATAACAGTTTTAATAAAAATCACCTTTCATAGTTTTGTTCTCCAGAATCATTCCCAAGAAAGTATGGAGGTTTTTTCGACTAAATATATTATCCTTGCTATAGTGGATTTAAATCTAATATGTTATCGTGTATGATTATATGTTTGATTCATTATATAAAAAAAATTAAACATAAATTTTAAATATTAAGTGCTATGAAATATTTAAAATGATAGGAAGAAGATGGTGATTTGTAAAGAAAAATAATGTAAACCTGCTGAGTATTACAGAGAGTTAACAATGAGATAATAATAGTGGAAAAAAATGGTAGTGAAAAATAATGGAAATGAAAAGAGATAATAATGATGAAAAACAGTGAAAACAAACGGTAAAGAATAATGGAACTTGTTGAGTATTACAGAGTTAACAATGAGATAATAATGTGAAAAATAAAGGTAGAGAAAAAAATAGTAGAAAGGGAATAGAGATAATTATGGTGAAAAATTAATAGTGAAAACACATGTAGATAATAATGGTGTTTTCACTTGAAAATAAATATCAAGCACTTTACAAGATTAAAAAATTCGGTTCAGTGTAGATAATAATACTGAAGAATGACCTATAAAGTTTCAATTTTATCAAGGAACACTACAAGAAAACTGGCCTATTACCACGTTTTTGTTATGGCGTTTTTTTAAAAAACGTCGTTTTAAAGGTTTTCAAAATATTTTTTGTAAACAACTCATTTTAAAAAACACGCGTGCTTGGTGTACGAACATTTTTTTCCCTTTTAAGACCCACGCGTTTTTCATTCTTCTATTTCTCTCAATCCCGAGATAGCTCTAGGTTTTCTGTCTCTTCATCACTCCTCTTTCTTATGGTGAAAGGTCACTAGATCGAGCATCGTAGGCTCCGATTCACGTTCTAGTTCTCTCCATCTTGGCTCAAAGCTCTCGATCAGTCCGATTTGAAGATTAATTTGGTGAGTCCTTCTCTGATTTTTTGATTTTGTTTATATACAAACTCAGATCTGTTTCAACGATCTCAAATCTGTTTGATATATATATATATATAAACTAATTTATGTCTACTGATCGCGATCGATTTTTAGTCTAGTGATCGATTTTTAGGCTAATCTCGATTGATTGATTTTTAAATTATTGATCGCGATCGAACACTCTTCTTTGGATTTGATCGATTGATTGCTTTTGTTCAGATCTGTAAGTTTTAGTCCCTATGAGCATATTAACATCTTCAAATCTGGTGAGTCTTCTTTGATTCCCTCCTTCCTTACCTTGCTTATGATCTGTCTGGCCCTGTCGTTTGTGCGTTTGGGTTTTTCTACTACTTTCCATAAATTGATTTCCACTGTTTCTTGTGTTCAATTATTCTTTTGCAAACATGGATTGATGCAAACCCTTTTTTCTTTCACCACTTTTCATGTATTGCTTCAAAGTTCTTGTAGGTATTTTACACGCACATAATCTAATTACAGAAGATTGTGTCCAATATTGTGATTGAATTTTGTGCATTTAAAAATTTTCAAGTTATGCTTCTGTACAAGGATTAATGTAGCAAACACTCTCTTTCAAACTAGTTTGGCAAGGATTAATGAATCTATCTCATTGCTCCATTTCTATATATTTGATTACTTGATGAAATGATTAAAAATGTGTTCACAATGAAGAATCAGATTTTAAAATGATCTAAATATAACATAAAACGATAAATATTTGTAAGTTAATTTTCTATACATTTGACAAAATCATGGTTTTTTAATGTGTATCAATTTTCATATCCTTTGTTTATAGTGTTTTATGTTCTTGGTGTAGCTTAATGATGAAATAAATACATTGCATTATGTATTTGACTCATCAACTATTAACTCTCAGCCTTTGTTTTGAAACACCCTCCTGTTGCCAGTGTTGTTTTTGGAGCAACAAAGTTGTGGCAGCTGCAACAAGTCTTGGATGCATGCAAGATGGAGCTTAATCCTGAAATCATTGCAGATATTGACAAGGTTCATACAAGATACCCAAATCCTTGCCCCTAATCCACCTTGATATATTTTTTTACTTTCTCATTCAAGAATTTTGGTAATTATACTAATGCCCTATTCTAAAGGTGATTTTTGAGTGTGAAAGTATTTTTCTTACATTTTTATAGTTAAAATAATTAAAATATACATGTTCATTCATGTAGGGAATAAATCAATATTCACCAATAATTAATAAAATTTTGATATAATTAACCCAACAGTTCGAATTTTGATACAATTTAAAAGCTTTGTTTTTTACTATCAGATTTTTATTTGATTTGTGTTTCAGCACACTATTGTGATGAAACTCCTCTATTATGATGATGTCACGGTATGCGTTTCACTTAATTAGATCTTTCAGTTTATTGAATATCCTTGATTTGCTAATCAAGGTATAGAAAATCTAAAATTTGATACTGTTACCATGAAAAGGCTGAGGAAATAATTAATGCAACTCATAAGCACTAGTATCTGCATATGATCTCCATAAATTTGCATCTTTTGTGGTTTGTTCTATTAGTTGTCCAATGGTATTATCTAATTACAAATTATCTCTATGCATCTAAAAGTCCTTCTCCTCTCCCTGTATTATTTGACCATAGAAAATATAGTCACTCACACATTGATCTTGCAGCCTGTGGATTAGGAGCCTGCATTCTTCAAAAGCTGCTGAGAACAAGAAGCTCATAATCCATGGACAAAAAATCCTCTGAAAATGGAGGTTGGAAATTTCAACAGCAAGCATTTTGTATTAGCTCGCAAGGTAAAAATAGAATATTGCAGGAACACTTGGTCCCCTCTCCCTGTATTATTTGACCACAGAAAATATAGTCACTCACACATTGATCTTGCAGCCTGTGGATTAGGAGCCTGCATTCTTCAAAAGCTGCTGAGAACAAGAAGCTCATAATCCATGGACAAAAAATCCTCTGAAAATGGAGGTTGGAAATGTCAACAACAAGCATTTTGTATTAGCTCGCAAGGTAAAAATAGAATATTGCAGGAACACTTGGTCCCTTGTTTGAAAACTTTAAGTTAATGTTTGCAACTGGGAATTTGTGCAGGTTAAGAGTGTGCTTGATCCTTGTGAGGATGAAAATGATGACATTCAAGATGATGATGTGAGCTTGGGGGTTGATTCTGTACAAAGGGAGTGTTCTGAATCTGACGGTGAGGTGATGAGTTAACGTTACATTTGTTTTTGGTTCTCAATGAGTTAAAATACGGGTTATAAGCTTCATTTACCATACAGCAGAAATGCTTAATAAACCTATTGTCAAAATTTGCAACTCATTTCAGGTTGGCCTTTCGGAAGATGACCAAACATAGTTGCACCAATAGGTAATTATGGTTATAGGCTTTGATTAAAGGTAAATGACGATCTGACACATGTTGAAACTTGTAAAAGAAGGCATCCAATCCTGCACGGTTGAACATTTTAAGCTGTAGAATAAATTTAAAATTTCATTTTTTAACTGGTTTTCAGAAATTATGGACAAAGCTAGTTAAGGAAGGTAGTCTATCTAAGGACAGAACAAACAGTTATACCATTAACAAGCAAAAGGTAGTTCATTTCTTTTCATTCAGTTTGAATTTTGTGTCTTTGTGTTATTGTAGTCTCAGTGGCATTTTATTTCAGAATTTCGTTGTTTGTGCGATTTGTTGTATAATAATTTGTTGATGGAATCTCAATTAAATTTCACTCCAGTTTTCCTGTTTCATGTTCATGCTTCTTGGTGCACATTGCACATGCCTTTTCCTTTAGAAAATTTCTGTTGTACCTCATTTTGTTAAGCTTGATCTAGATCTAAAGAAATTAGTTTTTATTTTTTTTTATTTCCAAGTTTAAAAACTCTTATTGATCACACATTGTCAGATTTGGATAGTGGACTAGTGATAAGAGGAAATGGGTTGAACTATCGAGATCGGCCACTTTATTGATCTTGTAGTTTGGGACAAAACAGGCAAAGATTTTGACTTCCACTTTGCTTTTATTTGTGTTATCTTTACAGTGTTTTTATCTAGATGCTTGTTACAATTACTACATGTTCTGCATTGAGAATCACATTTACCCTTAGTTTTGCAAATTGTCTTATCTTTAGTGACAAAGTTTCCTACAGCAATTCCTGGCACCATTGAGAATGGCATACCTATCGATAAAGGAAAATTATTAAAGTCATTCAAGAGTAATTTATGGAATTACTTATTTAGTAATGTTGACAAACGAGAAACTACATAACACTCTAAATGAGTTACATACGGAGAAAAGAGGGTATTAATGTTGTGGTACAAAAGGAAACCATGGAACAGGTGTCAGAGAACAAATTTCCTTTCAATGCAGAAAATTACAAATTATATGAAGAAGTTGGAGAAGGTGTCAGTGCCACGGTTCACCGGGCTCTCTGCATTCCTCTGAATGAGATAGTTGGGTGTGAATGTCTTCGATGCATGCACCCTTAAAATTTTAAAATTTTTCAGTGGACAAAAAATTTAAGGACAACAATTATGAATTTTCATATGCCCTCTTGGATGAAAATTCCTTCGTGTTGACTGGGATTTGGGAATATATCCTGCTCAAAATTGTCTCTATTGTACATGAACCTATTATAATTAATTGAATACGAATCCAAGAGGCTATTCTGCAGTGTAATGATGTGTAATCTGCTTGACTATTCCATAGCATCTGCATGTGCAAGCAAATGACTTAACCTCAAGAGAGTAGTGGAACTATAAATAATTTTTCAAAGATAAAAAACAATTATATGTGTTTTTTACTGACTTAAAACGTAATGAAACAAGAGATTATCAACTTAAAACATGAAGAACAAGTATTACTCATTTTGACACCGTCAATAAACATAGATCAAAACTGGTTGGTGTCCATCTTAAAAAAAATGGAAGGAAAAAAGTATTGCTTAGGTGGCTAGAATTACATAATTATGCTTTCCTAGGATGCTGTTATGTATAATGTGTGTTTATTAGCTATTATCATTCAATGAGGTCCTCTCTCTCTCTTTCCACTTTGAAGGATGGTCTTGGGTTCATATATTTTTCAAATGTTGGGGTTTTCTTGTCAAAGGTTTCCTATTTGTCAGCTTCTACATTTTAAAAATGTTTTATTTTTCTAATTGGTGGTAGGTTACTTCAAATGCAGGTCCCAGGTTTGGTTAATGTTGACTTTGCAGATGTGCGAGCTATCATGGAAAATGCAGGGTCATTTCTAATGGGAATAGGAATTGCAACTGGTAAATTAAGTGGATCTTTATTTGCTGACTTTTTTCTATTTACCAAATGCTTTATAGATCTCAAGAAAGGAGCAAAGGAGGTTCAAGAAAAGAATGAAGATAGAGCTAATACGGGCTAATACGGGAGGGTGGATTGAGTTCTTACTTGCATGATATTTTCAGAATTGTTGGTTTTCTATATTTTTTTTTCCTACTTTTAACTTTATTTTTCTGTTTAATGTCTGAAATTTCTGGTTTTTTCTCATAGCATGATCAAATTAGGAAGATGAGGAAAGTAGACCAATTTTTTTTGGGTACAAGAAAGAAGTTGACCAATGTTAGTACACTTTAAAAAGCATGTCATAAAGCAATGCAACATGCTCATGTAGATATACTATACTTAATAACAGAGCAATATTAGAGTCTCTTATGCCATTCTTTAACCCTAACACTCTTAGACACTCATACTTACCCATTACAACGCAACCCAAGCACTTGACAATGGACTTAAGTTTCGTCATATGGAAATTGCCTCACTACCTAAATCCTAGAACACAAAGATATGTAAAACATGACTTACAATAATACTTATTCCCTTGCCGTTTAGAATTTTGACAACTCGCAACTCTGTATCCACTACTTGCCAAATGAGATTACCATTATTTACGGTCGAAGTATGAAACCCTAATTACTTGCGTGACCTTTTTTTTCACATGCATGCCTATATTGATAAATTGTTGGTTTCTTATTCCTTTGCAGGCAAGACCAGGGCAAGAGATGCTGCATTGAATGCCATTCAATCACCTTTATTAGATATTGGTATAGAAAGAGCTACTGGGATAGTCTGGAACATAATTGGAGGAAGCGATCTCACTCTATATGAGGTAGGTTTTTATTCATTATTTCAACTTACTGGGAATTCATGCACATTAATATGGGGCCATAAGTGAGGCTGTCTAACTTTTGTATATTGTCACATGGATCCCAAGAATCATATGCTTGAGACCAATAGGAGATGCAAAATGCATTGTTTCCTCATGTTGATAAGTTTGCAAAAGTTTTCATTCTTCTTAGAATTTAATGGCAATAAATTTTTGAAATTGTTTAGTCAAGATGATTTTTGTATTGATGCTTTCAATAAATGATGGCATCAGATGATGTTTTTCAATCCTTGTCATGGAAATGATGAGCTTTGAGCAGCTACTCAATTTTGCTCTTGGTAGTAAGTGAATTGTGTGATCTCTTCCTTTTGCTTTTCACCAAATATAGGCCTTGGATGAGTGCAGTGAGAACGTCAAGAAATATTTCAGACGTTTGATAATATTATATGGACCTGAAGATTTTGATGTTTACAAGCGAAGAGAACTAATTAGAAAATGAATTTCCATAAGTCTTTCCCCTTGTTTGTTTGTTGTTAAAATCTCGCGCCCCACTTTTTTCTTTTCTTAGCTATTTTCATTAGCATGAACTGAACTCCTCCCAAACCTTCCAAATTATAGGGAAAAAAAGAAAAAGCAAAACTGATGTATGCTAATTATTCTGTTTCTAATAAATAATTGATCACATTATTGTTGTGTACCTTTGTTTATGTCTACGATTATATCCCAAGCACTGTTGGTTGGTCATGCCATGTGATTGTATTTTGCATGAGTGTTTCTACCTGAAGGGAGGTTTCTCCATCATTTAGAATATTTTCACTAGATAATGCTTCTCTTGCTCCGTTGCTTGCTTATGTTGATGTGGCTTGGACAATTCACCATATATCTCTATGTTATGCCTTGGGCACAAGTATATTTATGTTCCACTGATTTTGGTCTGAACTTTTGAACATATTTAAGGGTTTAGAAAATGTGGTATGGACATATCGTTTCATGATCCTTTTGGCTATTATGGAGTTTCAGTGTTTCATTTGTCTTTGGAATTTCAGGATGATGCAGTGAAGAACCTAGTGACTAAGTTACACTGCAAAAGCTAAGCTTGATTTGGTGACACAAGCAAAATCCAAATTTGTTTTGGAGAATAGCAAGGTTCATATATTAAATTCTAATTTTTATAGCTTGAGTGGATGTACATAGATACTAAGGGTAGAGTTTTTTTTTTTTTTGTTATTATTATTATTGTTTATTTTTTTACTGACCTTTAAGTGTTTTGTATTGTCTGAAGAGTTAATGTTGCTATTTAGAGAGAACTTCACAAACCCGAGTTTGATCGCTCTTGCATACATCTGGAGTTCGATATATTTTTTCTTTTTATTTTTTGACTGTGTTTGTTGTTTGATTTTGGTTTAGAAATAATCATGTAATGTTTATTTAGTCAATATATTGAAATAGCTGTAAAATTTTATTCATATTATTGTTATTTTTTAGCTTTATTACAGGTATGTTTTTTAGTTAAATATAACAGATTTAGCACAATTTAAAAAAAAAAGGAGCTATAACGGCGTTTTTCCAAAATGCCACTACAGTGCCAACGGTCATATTTTTAAAATAGAAAAAAATCTATCACGATGTTTTTAAAACGTCGCTAAATATTGGATGATGTCATTTTATCATTATTTATGGCATTTAGCGGGGTTTTTAAAAACGTCGCCTATACTAATTTAGCGACGTTTTTAAAACGTCATAAGGTTACAGCGACGGCCGCATCTTCGGCGTTTGGTACTAAACGTCACAAAGAGAATTAGCGACGTTTTTTAAACGCCACTAAATGTAAACTTTCCAGCAGTGGAACAAATATTTTAAAGTTCCAATTTTATTAAGGAATGAATATTTTAAAATGAAAGGGAGTATTTATATTGAATAATTTGGAATGAACATTTATATAAAATATTTTAGTTCAATTTTATTAACATATGTAAGGGAGTATTCAAATTTAAAATTATTTTATTAGCATAATTTAAGGGATCTTTCATAAATCTAATGGCATCTTCCAAAAGAAATTTGGTGCTTATATTATATAACTCCATAAATCTATAAATTTGATGGCAACTTCCCTTAGGAATTTGGTATGTTATTATTGTTATACTATGTATATAATTAGGAGTATTTAAACCAATTATAGAATGACATGTGTATTATAGAAATTTAAAAAAAATGAGAAAAAATAGATGGCACTTCAAACCCCCAATAGAGTGGAACATTTTTGCTTATATTATATAACTATTAGTTAATTCGTGTGATGCACAGGCTAAATATATTTGTTTTGAAGTAATTTTTTTATATAAAATTTAGTTAAATTATTTATATTTTGAATATATAAAATATTTAAAATAATCGTTAAATTGGAGAAAAAAGAAGCAATAATTTAAAATTTAAATAATGATTCTATTTATTTATTTTAATAATTTAATTGTATCATTCCATAAAAGCATTACTTAAATCAACGCATATACTAATTTAAATAAATTATTTATGTGTATTTTAATAATATTAGCTCTATCATGTTATAAAAATGTAACTTACAAAAATATATATAATAAATTTCATAAAAATATATATTTTTAATATTTAATTTTTTTTTAAAAAGTGAAAAAAGTAGAATAAAATTAGGGGGCATTTACATACAAGTCCCATTTTATGAACTTATAATCCATTAAGTCCTAAATAAAATTATTTGCTCCTTCAAGTCCCATTAATTTTTAATAGACCAATTTACCCTTCCAAGACATCCTCCATCGCTGCCAAACAATTGTTGTCTTCATTCTCTCTTTCTCTCTCTCTCTCAAAACTCCATAGCAGAGAAAGTTCTCAATCACCATGTCTTCTCAGGGTTCTAGGCACAATCATCCATCTCATAGACAAAGAACAGAGGCGAGCTCACAATCGTTCGTCTCTTGCAAGGTGAAAACGTCGCCGCTGTTCTCACCTACATCTACGATGAAATTCAATGGCTATTAGTGAAAGACGAAGCTGCTGTGAAGCTCGATGAGTCACCCTATTTCTTCACTCTTCATGTTCCATTGTCGTCTCTCATCGTCTCCATCATTGCCTCTCACCATTGGGATCCAGTCATGTGTATCTCGAACCAGATCTAGAACTAGATTAGGAGATTTCTAGATCTGGAAAGTGTAGAAGGAGGAGGAGAAGGTAAATGTAAGAGAGTGAGAGAGAGAGAGAGAGAGTGAGAGAGAGAGAGAGAGAGAGAGAGAGTAGACTGATAATATTCTCAATTTTAATCATGAAAAAAATTGAAAAATTTCTCAAAACTGATAATATTCTCAATTAATACTAGACAAAAATTTGAGAAATTTCTTAGTTTTGATAACTATAAACTGAAATCATTCTCTGTTTTGAAATTGAGAACATTCTCAGTTTATAACATTATCAATTTTAATCATGAAAAAAATTGAGAAATTTCTCAAAACTGATAATATTCTTAGTTCATACGAGAAAAAAAAATTGAGAAATTTTTTAATTTTGATAATTAGATACTAAAATCATTCTCTTTTTTGAAACTGAGAATATTCTCAGTTTTGGTGTATTTTTTAATTTTGATAATTAGATACTAAAATCATTCTCTTTTTTGAAACTGAGAATATTCTCAGTTTTGGTGTAAATATCTGATACCACTCGCTCTCTCTTCATTCTTTTTCCTCTTCTTCTCATCACACAGCTCCAAAACAATGCATTTCATTCCCATAACCATTTCTAACTCCTAACACTCCAAAACCTTCTCTCTTTTTTTTTTTTTTTTTTTTTTTTTGGCTTTTCAATCCTTGTGTTTTTTTGTTTTTGGATCGAATATTCAAACAATTTTGGCAAAGGAGATCTGAAGAAGATCGGTATTGATAATTTTTTTTTTTTTTTGAAATTTTAGAGGTTTGTTTTGGGAATTTGATTATATGTATATGCATGCATGAATCAAGCTTCAATTCAACATTTTGAACCAATTCTAGACTTTAATCACCAAGCTTCCATGAAACATGCAAGGTACAACTTAAATACAAGTTCAAGAAGATGATTCTCCTACCTTAGGTCCTCAATTTCAAGAATGGAAGCTCAATTATGCAATCTACTCTCCAATTCTTCTAATTTTCCTAGCCAAAACTTGCCGAAATCAATTCTCATACTCTCCCTCTCTCACTCACTTGGTTTTGGACTTGAGGAAAATGGCTGAAGAGTCGTGATAATGCTAACATACATAAATCGAATAAATGGCTCATGAAATAATCCACTAAGTGGCATTTTGGTAAATAACTCAAGTTGATGCATTATAACTTCATTTAATCTAATTTAATCATACCAAAACAAATTTCAATTAAATCTACCATAAAATCACATAAATTCTAATTAGCACAAAATACCAATCAATTTCAGATTCGGCCGCCGATAAGGCCTTCAGTTTACAGTTCGAACTTAAAACGTGAACAGATCAATTTATGGCAAACAGATAGAGATGCATTTAAACCGATACACTCGGACAATCAGTTCAGAATTTTAGTCTAATCAGTTACTTATCATATTCAGTCACAGTTTAACAGTAATCAGTGGTGAGGGTTGTCACAGTCTCCCCTCTTTACAAAGAGTTTGGTCCTCCAAACTCGAATTACCTTTATTTTGGAAGAATACTGGATTTAGAGGGAACAATTCAGGATATCTCTTCCCCATATCATCTTCCCTTTCCCAAGTGGCATAAATGCCACAATGGTTTTGCCAATCAACTTTCACTAACGGAATCTCTTTGTTCCTCAACTTCTTGATCCGTCTGTTTACAATCTGAATAGGCCGTTCTTCATAAGTGTAGTCATCACTTAGCACTACACGGGTAAGCTCAATAACAAGAAAGAGATCCCGAAGATAATCCCTCAACATTGAAATATGGAAGACATTATGCATATGCTCCATTTCAGGAGGAAGCGCTACTTGATACGCCACCAGATTGATTTTCTCAATAATCTCATACGGTCCGACATATCTCGGCGCTAACTTACCCTTGACCCCAAAACGAGTCTGGCCTTTCATCGGTGTTACTTTAACAAAAACGTGATCACCTACTTCATATTCTCTGTCTTGCCTTCGGACATCCGCATAACTTTTCTGTCGGCTTTATGCGGTTTTCAATCTCTATTGATTCAATTTCACTTTTTCGGTGGTTTCCTGTACAATCTCGGGCCCAAGCAAAGGCCCATCTCCAACTTCTGCCCAGCAAATTGGAGATCGACATTTTCTACCATACAAAGCCTCGAAAAGCACCATACCAATGCTCAAGTGAAAACTGTTATTGTAGGCGAACTCGGCCAAAGGTAAATGACTTTCCCAATTTCCCTGGAAATCAAGAACATACATTCGTAGTAAATCCTCCAGAGTCTGGATGGATCTTTCTGACTGACCATCTGTTTGACGATGGTAGGCACTACTCAGTCTCAGTTCAGTACCCAATGCTGTCTGTAGACTTTGCCAGAATCTCGATGTAAACTTCGAGTCCCTATTAGAAACAATGGACACAGGCACTCCATGCAATCTAACAATCTTATCAATATAGATTATAGCCAATTTGTCCTCATTATAAATTGTTTTGACAGGTAAGAAGTGAGCAGATTTAGTCAATCTATCAACAATAACCCAAATTGAGTCCATACCTTTACTGGAGCGAGGTAAACCAACAATGAAATCCATAGTGATATGTTCCCATTTCCACTCCGGTATGGGTAAGGGCTGCAGTAAGCCTGCCGGTCGTTGATGTTCAGCTTTAACTTGTTGGCAATGAAGACATTTCAATACAAAGTCAGTAATCTCTTTCTTCATTCCCGGCCACCAGAAATTCAGTTTCAAGTCTTGGTACATTTTCGTATTTCCTGGATGGATAGACAGTTTCGAATTGTGGCCCTCTTGCAGAATTCTTCTTTTCAGTTCAGAATCACTCGGTATACATAATCTTCCCTGGAATTGCAACACATTGTTCTCAAATTTAAAGTCCGGCCTCGTTTGGACTCCCGTTCATCAATGACCTTTTTCAAAAAGTCATCTTGTTGCTGTTTCTCTTTAATCTCCTCAATCAGTGCCAGTTGAGCAGAAATGGCGGCTAAGGTTCCACCTTGTTCACGCAAAACAATCTCAACTTCAAATTTTTCAAGGTCACATAGCAATTCTTTCTGCCCGGTGAGTAAACAGGCTAAATTTCTGATCGATTTCCGACTTAATGAATCTGCAACGGTGTTAGCTTTCCCCGGATGGTACAAAATTTGCAAATCATAATCCTTTATCAGTTCTAACCATCTCCGCTGCCTCATGTTCAGTTCTTTCTGTGTGAAGTACTTCAAACTCTTATGGTCTGTATACACCTCACATGTCGCCCCATAAAGGTAGTGACGCCAGTTTTTTAATGCAAACACTACTGCAGCAAGTTCCAAATCATGGATCGGGTAGTTCTTTTCATGCGGTCTCAGTTGTCGGGAAGCATACGCGATAACTTTACCATTCTGCATTAAAACATATCCCAAACCCTTATAAGAATCATCACTAAATATAGTATAACCATCCGTACCTGAGGGTAGGGTAAGAATCGGTGCAATCACAAATCGAGTCTTTAACTCTTGAAAGGCTGATTCTCTCTGATCGGTCCAGTCAAATGATATCCCCTTTTGAGTCAATTGAGTCAGTGGTAGGGCAATTTTGGAGAAGTCTTTGACAAACCTTCTGTAATACCCGGCTAAGCCTAGAAAATTTCGGACTTCGGTAACATTTGTCGGTCTAGGCCAATTCACTACTGCTTCAATTTTTTGTGGATCAACTGAAATTCCATCCTTACTGATTACATATCGCAAAAACATAACATTGTCAAGCCAAAATTCACATTTTGTCTATTTAGCATACAGTTTCTGTTGTCTTAGGGTCTGTAGGGCAGTTCTCAAATGATGTTCATGTTCTTCCGTGCTTTTGGAATAAATTAAAATGTCATCTATGAAAACAACTACAAATTCATCAAGGTATGGTTTGAAATTTCTGTTCATAAGGTCCATAAATGCAGCAGGTGCATTGGTAACTCCGAAAGGCATAACAAGAAATTCATAATGTCCATACCTTGTTCGAAAAGCAGTCTTTTCAATGTCTCCTGTCTTGACTTTCAATTGGTGGTAACCGGATCTCAGGTCAATTTTAGAAAACACTTGAGCACCATGTAACTGGTCAAACAAATCATCAATTCGAGGCAATGGATATTTGTTTTTCACTATTACCTTATTCAGGTCATGGTAGTCAATGTAGAGTCTTAATGAGCCGTCTTTTTCACAAACAAAACTGGTGCTCCCCACGGTGAAGTACTGGGCCTGATGAACTTCTTGTCTAACAGTTCCTATAGCTGAACTTTTAGTTCTTTCAATTCGGTAGGTGCCATTCTGTACGGAGCTTTGGAAACTGGCTGTGTACCCGGAATCACATCAATGGTGAATTTAATGTCCCTATCAATCAAATCCCCTGGAAAATCATCTGGAAAAACATCTGGGAATTCTCTGACTATAGGAATACTGTTCACATCAATCTTAGTATCAGTAGGTACAGTCAATAGACAACACAGATACCCTTTACACCCCTTTTTAATCAGTTTAAAAGCTTTCATCGATGAAATCAGGTATGGGGGAGGTACTACTCCAACTCCGTTAAACACAAATTCAGGTAATCCAGGTGGACGAAAAACAACTTGTTTCGTTATACAGTCTATGGTAGCATGATATTTTGTTAACCAGTCCATTCTCAATATCACATCAAAGTGGTAAATATTCAAAGGTAGTAAATCAATATACAAATGAACATCCCCAACAATAATTTCACATGCAGGGTATATATAAGCACAAGTCATGGATCCCCCAACAGGTGAAGATACAGCTAACAGATAATTCAGGGGTTCCAATGGTCTATTCAATTTTTGTGAAAAAGCATGCGAGACATATGAATGTGTAGACCCCGAATCAATCAGAACATAAGCATTTTGAGCACAAATTGAGAGTATACCCGACACAACGGTCTCGGTATTCTGCACATCTCCCGGTACGAGTGCGAACACTCGGCCTTGCCTCATAGGCTCTTTTCTAGTCGCTTT